TCACGGCAACAGTTTGCTGAGGGGGAGAAAGGGAAAGCTGAAGCCAAAATGCAGAAATAAAGGTGTAGGAAAGAGGCTGGCTGTGGGCTCCACTGAAGTCTGAGGTATGACAAACCAGTACATATCTGGAACAATTCTACTGAAATCCAGTACATATCGGAAACGATGCTACTGAAATCCATGAGTTTTAACTGGCATAACTGACATCAAAAGCTGACCTGTCAGGACGGTCTTTTCTGTATTCACAATCCAGTTTTCACTCATTTAAAACTCACCTGTAGTATCCTCCCTCATAGAAACATGCACACACAAAACTCTTTAGAAACATAGCTGTTTTCACTATGTTTGAAAGTAATCCTAATCCCAAATAGCTATTCACAACATGGTTTTCCTTCTAGCTCCTAATTTAATGTAGTTAAAACATTTCACAGGAAAGGCTTGAAGATATAGCAGTATACAGCAGTAAACAAACAAATAAAAAAACCCAATCCAACATCATTTATACAAATTGCACATGGAATAATTAGAATGCATATCCCTCCCTTAGTATAGGCCCTAGTATGCAAACAGCTGGACAACATGTGCTCTGCTAAAGCGAAACTTGAGTTCGTTGCATAATATGCTAAAAGAAAAGAAAAACCAGGAATTGATATATTATTATTAATTCCTGTTTGGCATTTAAACAGAACAGTGCTTTGATTTGTTCTCAGATGTTTCCATTCATTAGTTTCAAAGCTACAAGTTACTGAAGTGATTTTCAAAAGCCGCCCAAACAAGAAGTTCACTCCCTACTGTGACGCAAAATTGTGAGAAAATAATGAAGTATGAAGAAGTCGATGGTGCCTTATTCCCTGTCCTGCTCTCCTAGATTGGCCATTTGTTTACATGCTTCATTCCAGGGGCACTTGGTACTAAATTGCTAGAAAGAACCAAAGAGCCAAGAAGAGGCTCTGGAAATATGATTCTTCAAACTAAAGAGAGAGAAAGAACTATGTTCCATATTATGCGGAAAGCAAGGTCCAGAAATACTCTTCTGCAACAGGCTAAACTTTGAAATAGCTGTAATAAAGAATAAAAGTGACTCAAACAGAAATAAGCATCATTTGTAGACTCAAACTTAATGGCAGAGATTGCAAGTAACTCTAGGGATACAGGAGATAATGCATTCTGGAGTTCCCCAAAATGAACAGAGGGAAGGGAACTGCAAAAACCAAGTGGTTTTGCTCAGCAGAAAAAAAAATTGTTCTGCATGATGCAGGTGGTGCTGCGGACCTTTCTGCCAGTTCCCCCTGCTGAGAGGAAACACTGCGGCAACTAGTCTGTGGGGAGCAGTCAGGACAATTTATTTTAGAAGCCAAAGAATAAAGAGGGTTTTTAAAAGGAGAGTTATAGATATCTGTCACACAGGGATAAGTTTATATCCACTCCAGCTGGAAACTTCCACACTAATGAGGACACGTTTGTCTGAAGAACCCCATGGAATGTGTCTGTAGATATCGGTGCAACACAAATGCAGTGTAAGAAGTGTTCCATAAATGTCATTAGCATGCTCAATGAACATCTAAACTGAGCTACCTGGACAAAATATTTGCCTTAACAAACCCTCCTAGGATCATGCCCAACTCCTGGAGACTCCAACTTTCCTGGAACCATAGGGATCCAGAGGGAAGAAGTGTATTTGCTAAGGTACCACGGACCTCTCTCCAGGAAGCGGATTGCAAAATAATAATTAGCAAAAATATGTTAAAGGCATATGATGCACTCGTTAACTTCTGCCATTGACTTGGGGTACAATTGCGCACTGGTAAAGTGCTGAATCCAAACTGAAATCTGAAGTTCAACCCCGTAAACTAGGCTATTTCGTGAAACCTCAGAACATATTTTGGAGCCAGAACCCAAAACACTATTATACCAAAGTAAATCCTAAATGACTTTCAAGAGGGTATGAGAATCAATCCAAATTTACAACACTAATTAACAGAGATAAGAATGTAGCCTCATGGGAATATAAATACGCAAGTATCACTTAGTATCTAATTAATACAATGAGATTCCCACATTTATATCTCTACAAAGCTACACATTTCCTTCATCAAGCCCTGTTATCTATATTGTAGAACACCTTGGACAGCTTTGTCTTTAGGTGTTTTTTTTTAATCAAACAAACAAAAAAACCACACCCTACAAACCCACTGTGTAGCATTCCCCTTCTTAAAATCAAATGAACCAGTTAGTGAGAAATCCAACTTTGAAATTACAAGACACAAACAAAAAATGGAATTTAGTCTGTTGGTGGCGGCACAAGGAACGTTATGTGTTGCAATTAAAGTTATTCACCCGTCATGTGGTATGATTCCATTGCTGTATTTGGGAGAATACAAATAAACAGTACAGTCCGGCAATTCTGTAGGGTGTCTATTGGAGGCATAAAGGGTTTGCTGATCTGATGGCTTTTACTACCTCCATCAATACACTTTTGCCGACCAGCCTGTCTATACAACCATTTATCTGCCATGTATGTTAGGGTGGTGGTGAAAAGAATCCTTGTTTCACAGGAAAGGTTTGTATATACTGTTTGCGCAAGAAAACGGAGACAGCTTTTTAGGGGCCAATGACCAGGTATTTATAAAAGCCCATAAGGACACATTTACATACATGCAAATATCTCTAATTTTGTTCCGAGCTGTGGTGTCACTAGAAAGCTATTTCAGCCCTCAGACACATTCTATCAGCTATCAACAAAGAACCTTTTATACATGGAACATACACCCCACTCTTCTCCAAAATACTGAAATGTCCACAAATATATATCCTATGAAATAATATCTAAACATGCCAAGGGTATCTGAAGGTCGTAAGTAGCTGCAACAATGCTCTCTCGCTCACACACATGCACGAAGTTTCAATAAAATGCCTCTAAAACCCTTGCCTGTTAAAATAAAGTTTTAACTAGATGAGAGGCAATATTCGGGACTAGAGCTAAACCTGGTCAGTCTCCATTAATATGCACTTTACCTAGCCTATTGGGTAAAAAGTCGTTTTTTGTTTTGTTCCCAAGAGAGCTTTATAAATTCAAAATAATTTATATGTTTTTTATGGCAACAAACAGATAATCAAGGAAGAAAAACGTTCTGTATCTTGACACCATTCAAACCATCTGCACAGATTTTATTCCAACTTTCAATGTGTGTTTCTAAAACCTCCTCCTTAAGCCCTCCCCACCCCCACCCCCACCCCCGTTAGATGGCATATTTTAATGAGGTTCATCTATTTACTATCTGGGAATTCATCAGTACTCCTAACAACAAAGTCAGTGAAAGGAAGATACGTCCTTTCTGAACAGAGGAAGATAGACAATGTGTGTGAGTACATGTAAACACAGATGTGCCCACCGTCATATCCTCTTTCTAAATATTGTCAAATTATTAATATAAGGTATTTTATACTAGTTTTTGACAGGAGGTTAGCAACATGCAATCTTCAATATGCCCTAGACATATTGAATTGGCAAGCCAGCTTTTTACACTATTTTTATCTTCCAGTGTGCATGATCTGAGTGAGTTTTATATTCATATGGCGTTTATACATATAATTGGGAACATGATACATCTCTTCTTTCCTCCTTTTATTAATGTTTTCCCTACTTCTCACACACACACACACACATTTAGCTGTTGCAAACAGGTATCAAAGACCAAAAAGCACATGCAAGTAGTTCTTCTCACACAGCTTAAGCCGCTCTAGGGCAAAAGAGAGCACACACGTCTGTAGTGCAACATGTTGCTTCTGTCTTCAAGAGGGAATCATTCCACACTTACAAACGTTGACATAAAAGACACACTCATGGCATATTTCAAAACCAAAGAGCGATGGATTTACAAGGCAGGTTGATTTTATGGTGACTTTTATTGACAAGGTACGCAGGCTTTCGGCAGATGCCTCGTAGCACTGGGAAGTTAACACAGTGCCTAATTCAAGGAGACAGCCCGAGGAAGCAGCACCGACAGGGGAGAGAGCGCAACAACGTCTCTATTACTCTCCTCGGCATCATAAAGGAGCAGAAGAAAAATGGTATCCAAGGGGTAACTGGGAAGCTACGTAGAAGTTTTTTTAAAAAAATAAATAAATTGCTGATTCTTCCATGGAAAATAAGCGGGAGGAAAATAAGAGGGGGCAAGGTCCTACAAAAACGAACAAAAGGGGGGGGGGAATCCCAGCTCAACATCTAAGCTGTGCGTTTGAATTTGGAGCGGACCATCATAAGCCAAATACTGCCTTATCTTCCACTTCTTAGGTGGGGAGCTCATGGCACTTAATGACCAAGGGGGTGAGCTGTGAGAGAGGAATGCTGCAACAGGCATTGCTCCCCAAACAAATACTATGCAGGCTGGCTTCAGCTTGGCTCCCGGCCTGCAAAAAATAATACCACTTCTGAATTTGAAGAAGGAACTGCAGGAAACATCTCTGCCCATTTAAGAGATATTGGGGCAGGGTGATCTCCTCGCCTAGAGCATCACCAGCTCTCTTTCTTTCTCTGCTTTGATGAAAGGGCTTAAGTTAGCTTACGCTAAACATCCAATAATAATGCCTTTACACTGATCAGGGGAGCAAATAATGGTGCACTGATTACAACCGGAGACAAATATGTGAGGGAAAGGGTTGGGGCGGGAGGGAGGGAAAGGAGTTCAACAAGACAGTAGGGCAACAATCATGGAATAGGCAAGTGGTCTGGAACAAATGTTCCTCCGTAACTACAGGGCGACAACCTCCAATGCATTCACAACATAGAGATTCCCTCCCATTTCTGGAATGTTGCTCATTTTTCTGTGACTCAGCATCCCAATCTAGTATGAGAATAACAGATTCCTTGCGTAGATTCCCATCAATCCCCCTCCCTCTGTAACCCATCATCATATGTTTAAAGAAAAAAACAGGAGCACAAGTATTATGACACCTCCTAGCATTGCAAAACACAGCTGTTGAACATTTTTCTGCCCCAGCTAAGCAAAGTTGAGGTACTTACATCTATCATTTCGGTCCTCGGGACTGGATGAGGTCTCCCGGTCCGAAATGAGGCCAGAGACAGCGAAGATCTTTTTCCCCGTGTCATCGACTTTGAGGGAGCCGGGGGAGCCAGATGGGAGCTGGGCTCCAAACTCATACTCCTTGCCATCAGCGTCTGAGAAGCGAAGGTGGGGAGAGTCAGTGTCATGGCAGTTCTTCAGACGCTTGGCAGGTGTAAAAGCTGACTGGTAACTCTCCCTGTCCTCAGTGGAGGCAAAGGGACGGAAGGCCCCAACGCCACTGTGGTTCAGCATGCTGATTGGGGTGCAGTCCAGATTGGGGGGAGCAAACTGGGGGTGCAGATGCAGCAAGGAAGGTGGAAAATCACGGTTGGTGAATGCTCCTGGCACACCACCTTGTCGGTGATACATAGAGGCAAAAGTATAGGAGCCATTAGTGAACGGGATGTGCACATCCTTGTCCACCGATACTGGAACACCAAAGGGCCTTGGCTGCTGGCAAGGGATGGAAGCATCGCGGCTTGCTTCAGCGGTAGAAGCGAGAACCATCAGGGCTGGAGATGCCAGAGGATTGGGAAGGTAGGAGGAGTTTTCCATCTTGAAGGCTGCCCGGTGTAAGTCCATCGGAGTCTCTTTCCTTGACAGGGCCGCAAGGAAAATGGTCTTCCCTGGATGGAAAACAAAGCAACGTCTGGGTGTAGAGTTGGGGGGTCTCACTGGGGCTTCATCACTGTTCCAAAGCTGTGGAGAAAAAGAAGGGAAAAGGGGAGGAAATAGTGAATTGCCATTCAGTCCTGGACAGTTACCTATCATGAATGCAACAAGAAAATTGTATGAGCAAAGAACCAAACCTCCATGTGTTCTCTTTCAGGAAAGTTCACAAATAACTAGAAGGGTCTCTAACTCCCTCTAAGGGTGTGTCAGCACAAGTCTTTCTCAGTCTTTCTCCTGCTACCAGCTTTAGCACCAAACTTTGAAGTCAATAGAAGATCCCCACTAAAAGTAGATAAAATGGGGCACTTTTCCACACACCAACACTACTCTGTGGTTCATGCAGGTAGTGCATCTTGCTCTGACCTCACCTTCTGCTGTAAGAAGGGCAAGAAACTAGTGCATGTTCAGATTAAGGAATGAGTGGGTTTGTGGGGACTGAATGCTCTGAATAAGGGCTATATGGGATGAAAACAATCTTTAATGAGCAAATGAAAGGCAAATGACCTGACTCCTTACAGACAAAAATACCGGGGGGGGGGGGGGAATTGGACTGTGGAAATCAGTGGTGGCAATTTTAAGTTATTATGTTTAAAGAAAGTAATTACTATTTTAAAAATCTGGTAAGTTATTCACAATTTACAAACAAGCATTTCTGCATATATCTGCACAGCCCATTAAGAAAAAAATAATGTAGAAACCGTATCTGTTTTGTGTTGTAGAGGCCCATGTGAATATCTACCTGTGCAGATATACATACAAGTTATAGATTTCACTTTATATTCAATGGTGCATGTGGGCATAAACATGCCTCTCTTATACATTTCTCTGAATTGTTCCATGTGGTGTTTGTGTGCTTTTAGGAAAACAGCAGCAACTTCATCAATAAAGTGCTTGGCGTCTCTGACAATATTTAAAATCATAATGGGAGCCAGTGCCATATGATCTCTTGCAAGCATCTGCCTTTTAGGTTGAGGACAGCACAAAACGGATCAGTAATTTTACTTCCTAATGCGCTCATGCTTAAGTAGATTTGTAAACTGTCCTGGATATGCCATTAGCATTTAGAGAAAAATGTTAACAAAACGTCTAGGCTTGCTTTTCCTTGAAATTACTTACAAATTCTAAGTAACCTGTTATCCCCACTCACAACGTATCAGTACAGATATTTACATTTACATGTAAGTATAAATAATAACATTAACTTTCCCTCTAACCCTTTTTAGAGTTGAAATCAAAAGCACGTTCTCTCCTCTTCAACCTAGAATCCACCCCCCTCCACTTTTTAAGCTTCCACTGCCAACCATTCAGAATGCCACAATGCACTTGAATGTAAGAGAACTGTTACTTTAAAACAATGTGCTAGCCTTGCGGCACTCAAAAGGCCACAAAAAAATCATATAATAAAAAAGCTGTTACAAAATGTGCCTGTTAGATCCAGAAGGTCAGACATAGCAAATAAAACTTACTGAAAGAGTCTCTTTTCTAATGGAGTGGCTTTTGTATTCTGTGAATGAGCAAGGCTAGGTTAACAAACTCTGTGGAATCCTGACTGCGCCTTTCATGCTGTCCAGCAGTAACATTTCCTTTTCTCCCATTCTGTATCCAGACGCTCAGTGACTGTTATTAAGTGTGAAGATGAGAGGGCATCATCTCGCCTCTTCCTCATTTGGCTCCCTTCCTGATACAGATCAGGGCTAAATCACCAGATTATAGATCTCACATTAACAAAGTTTTGGTCGCTTCCAAATTTTAAATAACTTTCCGTCAAGTACTAGCCATGGACAGAAAGATGCCACGGAGAATCTGGTCGGCCTTCTTTCGGAGTTACCTTCTGCACTGTTTTCTGCATAGCTGATTTGTCACAGAAAAGCAAGCAAACAAATTTAAAACAAAAAACTGCAATAATAGGTGAAGGTGAAGCAGGGGCTAGGAGACCTGAATGCTCATTTTCAATTATTTTTAAAGGGAGGGGAACACCCTACCCAGATAAATACATAAATACACTATTAATATCTGAATTGACCCATGGGACTGAGGGAAAACCATAGCCTTTCTAGGATTTAAATAAATGAGGGGGGTGAGAGCACACTACTAATGCCTCTGTGCCTGCTTTTCTATTTTTACTTCCACTGTCACCTCATTACGTTAAATGTATTTCATAAATTAGTAATCTGGAAGCCACACTTGACACTCCTTGTAGAATACTGTGAATCACTCCAATCACCCTATTCGTTCGCAAACTTCATTACATAGAGAATAAATCAACATATTACGATATTGCACCAAGCCAAGTTTATTTTTTTTAAAAACCCTCCTGCATCCTTTTCTCCCCCATTTTCTCCTTGTCTCTTACCTTCTTTTCCACCATCTCTTTGCCCCACACGATTATCCCCTATCACCACCATCATTAGGAGCATGTACAGATGAGGCTGCGGCAAGGCCAGTCATTATGAAAATCTATAGATAATACACTCCCAATGTCAAAATGTCATTGGTTTTTAAATATGGAACCCAAAATAAGAAAACTAACTGACCTGCTTAATTAAAAAAATATGGATTGCAGGATAACCAGCCTGATGAAACATTTGGGTGACTGGAAGGGAGCGGGCACAGCCAAAGTAAGTAACTGTTACTTTTCTGCCTCTATGCTGATTTTTTTAATTTAGCACCCTGTGCAAATCCAGATTAAAATAACTCCAGCTATTGATCCAAGCAGTGGAATTGACATTAATTTTAGTTCACTTCTCACTTTGCAAAGGGATCAATAGGAAGTAATAACAGCTGACATCCTCGCTGAAAGGAAGAGAAAAGACGGTCTAGCGACAGAAATCGAAAAGCAACCAAATAAATCAGCAGATACTTTTCCATGGCATCAGACAAACTCCAAACAGATTGCAAAAAGTCTTTGTTAAATTAACTAAACAAGGAGTGGAGGAGGCCATGGGGGTGGAAATAAATCTATGAAGCTACATAAACTGTCCACTGGGTATCCGAGTTAGATCAGCACACAAATAATAATAATAATAATAATTTTTAAAAATTGCTTACTTATATTTTCAAAATCACCACTTGGCTTTATGGATAAGCATGATTCCTTGCAAGAACACCCGTCATTTGCACCGCTTACTTAAATGCAAAGTGAAGCGGCAAGACCAAGAGAATCCCAATTAAAAGCTTCAGCCTTTATTCATAACAAAAACAAACAAACCGACAACTTAGAACAAAATCTAACATGTTATGCACATCTTAGGTTTTGGTTCCTCTGTTTATTAATTATTATAATGTTATTTTTAATTACCCCAGAGGAGAACTACTAAAATGAAGAGAGGCTAAGATGATGCAGAATTCACCATGCATCCTTCTAGCCATCATGCAAGTGGATAAACAGAGTTGGTCACAAGCTGCAGGTGGAAAACTCATTTGCTAATTAATATAAATTTTATATTAATATACAGAACCCAGAAAAGAAAGGCAGAGTTTCTGTGTAAAAAATTACTTTTCCATTCTTAATTAAAACATACAAACCACACATCCCGTACTACTAAAACAGGTTGCATTTTTGTGATCCTCCTGCTATTTTCCAATTCCAATATATAAAATAACGGAATAAAAAAAAAATTCCCTGCAGTTTGCGGAGAGAAAGAAATAACTTTTTCTTTAAGAGTTCAAGCTGTTAGGAAAGAACAGAGAGTTGGAAACTACAGGTTTGAGCTCTTGTTACTTTGTAATCACATAATTTTAGAAACAGGAATTTGGAGATTTATTCCTACTGAGAAAATCCTGATAATATAAAACAAAACTATCCCAGCTGTTGGGGGGAATTAAAGTGTGCAACTGGATTATCTATTCAAACTAAACTGGATTTCCTCCTAATAAATGAAAACAAATGCAAGATTGAGGACAAGAACAAGCAGGAGATCCCAGTGTTGAATTAAGAAAATCTATAGGTCTGTATTCCTTGTCACTAAACATCAGGATGGTTTTGGAATTGTGAGTGTCCAAACTAGATTATGAGACGGTGGCCGGGATAGGGGGCGAGGCGGAATAAGGGCACTGCCTTTTCGGCGTCCAAAATGCCAGTTCGGAAAGTACGAAGATCTAGTCACATTTTATGAAACCGATGGTGAATCGGGCCCCTTGGCGCAACAACAAAGGGGCCGCCTCGCCTCTCCCCAATTCGCTTTGCGACTCCCCCCCCCCCCGCGCTTTGCAACAACAAAAAAATAACAAGGAAAATAAAATTCAAGTACGGGGACGGGCCAAGGTACTAAAACAGATAATAGATTTCCACCCTACCCCTGCAAAATGCATCCTTCTTTTGTTAAGCAAAGTAATAACTTGCAGAAGTCGAAGCCGCCAAAAGGCGTTTGTTAGCCATCGGTAAACAACACAAAGTAAGGAGGTTCTGATCTGCAAATTGTGGGGCCTTCATCTCATCCTCCAGCCCCGACCCAAAAAGGGGCACGAGATGGACGCACAACGCTTCCCCAGTTAAGCGGTCGGGGGGGGGGATTGTAAAATTAAACTATTTTAAGTTTTCTGGTAGAGAAATAATACTTGATCGATTTGGATCTTAAAGTTCTGTTCCAGAAATCTCCAATTTCCAGCAAAAGCAGAATTAATTTCATAGGAGGAGCATTAACCCGCCCTTCTCCCACTTTCTGCAGTTGCAAATCAAAACAGGTGTTTGTCTTTTTCCCGGTACCTAAACTGAGCACGAAAAGAATTCGGTCGGCTTACTACAACTTCAAACCACGTTTTATATACACACTGTCCTCTCCACATCGGGGATATAAAAGAAAAAAGTGGGTACAGATTTCAGAAAGTGCATTGGAGAGATACAGGAATCGGAAACTAATTCCCCGCTAATACGCCCGCTCGGCCACGCCTGGTCACTTTTTTCACTGCACACCCCCGCCAAATGCTCTGCATCGACAAAAGAAAAAAATATATAAGAATAATAACTGTGCAAAATCGGTTTCGCAACTTTGCAAAGGAATCAAAATTTTCCTTCCTTCCAGGAAATATGTGCGGGGCGGGTGGAGTGGGAGCAGAGATCTATCTCACTTCACCCCAATCTCTACAGTCTGTTCAAGACTCGTTTTCTTTTTAAAATACTAAACAAAGCTCATCAAATGTGCGGATGCCTCGTGCTGTTTGAATTTATTGCAACAATTCCTTCCCTGCACGTTTCCTGCCTGGAAGGCGAAAGCATTCAATGCAACTCCTGAACTGGACATTGCCTAATGATTTCATTGTGCCCAAGCAGATGTTTTTTATGTATTTCGATCTACAAGGTGAGGAATTATTTCCCCTTCCTTGCAACCTCTGTACTGACTTCCCTACCGCGCTGCAAGCAGCGGCTGCTGTTGTTTCATTTCAAAAGCTGGCCGTTCCTCGGCTTCGGGCTGAAAATGTGAAGAAAGTTTTGCTAAGGAAGCCCAGCTAAACATGCATATTCCAATTTCCTTCCACTTCCTCTCGCCAACCGGGTTCTCTATTTGCTCGCTTGCACCGGTGTTGACCCTACAACACAACATCGCTTTTGCTATGCTATTCATTGCAGGAGAATAATTGCAAACATACAACTAACGACCAATTTTTAAAAAATTGTTTTGCATCTCGGAGAGAAAAATGCAGGCGGAGAGGGACTTTCTTTGAAGGAAGGAGAGTTGTTTGTCCGAACTTCAACCTTTCCTCCAAACTGCAAGCATTTCACGTGCGCAACCATCGCGGCAGCGAAAAGGAACTTGGGACAAAAGGAGGAGGGGAAAAAAGGCGGAAAGTACGCCTTAATTGCGGTTATGTAATATCTAATACTCAAAGTTCACATGTGCGCCCGCTCCGTAGTAAAACTGAAAGCTGACGGGGGGATGACGATCCTGACTCTATGCGGTGCTTTCTACGCACAGGGCAAATGCTGGATTTTTAAACATTTTGAGTTTTGTGCAAAAAATATTATCTACCTAGGTCGTGTCAGAGGGAGACTAGCAGGCTTGTCCCTTTCGACGAAGGTCCTCTCCACCCCACCCCACCCCGAGTCTTGGGTATTGTTTGGGGAAACTGCGTTATTTCAGCCAAAGACCGTGGGACACGCGAAGGAAAGCCGGGAAGTATCTCCCGGGCTTGCACAGGGATCGCTTCTCTCTCCCCCGCGCCCCCCCCACCGCCGCTCTTCTCTTTCTCCTTTTTAACACTAAATGTTGTTTGCGCTAATTGGAGCCGCGCGGTTTTCGGCTGCGTTTTGCAGGCTTCTTCCCCCGGCACCTGATCCCACCCAGCCCCCTCCCCGTGTCGCCTGCTTCCCACCCCCTCCCCAGTAAAATAAACAGCAGCAGGAGGAGGAGAGTCCCGGGAACACAGCTACCCTTAAAAGGGAAGGGGGCACCATATTGATCAGATTTTTGTTGTTGTTTTTTAAAAAAACACACTCATTAAGATTCCAACCCCCCCCCCCCGCGTGCGCGCTTTTTCAGCATCCCCACCCCTGGACCCCGATGAGCATCTTCTTCCGTGGGAATTTTTGCGCCGAGGAGCTGGGCGTGGAGAAAAAAATGGAGAGGCAAACTTGGTTCAGAAAGTTTGACTTTTCGAAACATCGGCGCCCGCATTTGCAAGAGAAGTAAAAGAAGAAGAAGAAGAAAAGGGGGAAAGTACGAGGGCAGAGAACTGAATCGAAACCCCGGAGATCCCCTGTTGGAAAGTTAGGTCGACACATACGTCTAGGCACAAACACGCGCGCGCACAAACAATGCACCATGCACCCCTGGCTTCCTCGCATGCACCCCTGGGATCTCCCGCTACTCACCGTGGAAATTCCTCGAGAGGTGGCGTCCCCCTTTAATGTCAGGCTGCGGAGAGCGAGAGCCTGGTCTGTTGCTGCGCGGGGAGGAGAGCCGGACGTGCTAAGCCCGGCGCGTGTGTGCAAGCGCCTTCGGCCAGCATGGGAGTGAGCAGGAGCCTGACACGGCTGCTGGGAGCCAAGGAGAGCGCAGCGCTGCCTCTCGAAGCTGCCTCTAATCAGTGAATGAGCCTCCACTCTCCCAGGGACTCCTAGCTGCTCTCTCTCTCTCTCTCACTCACACACACTCACGCTCGCTCTCGCTCTCAAACACACACTCTCTCTCTCTCTCTCCCACACACACAGGCACAGAGCCGGCCTGAGAACGGAATACATTAGGGCAGGGAGGAAGCCTGGGAAATGGAGTCCACAGCTGGGACGCACAGCTGCTCAGGGATGAGCCCGTCCGTCACCCCCCCCCCTTCTGCCCCACACCGAGCAAGGCATGAACTTTGGCTGGGAGCTGGCGAAGGGGGTCGGGGAGGTTAGGGTCGAGCTGTTTTCGCGTTTCAAACTCAGGGTGGTTGGGGGTGAGCGAGCACATCCCGTCTAGGATGGAGTTCTTTTTCACCAGTAACGCTTAAATCCGTATTTACCTTTCCATTTCTGTGATTTCTTCGATTTAAAAGCAGCTGTTCTGCTTTCTCCCACATCAACAGCATTCAACATTCTCCTTTGCAAAGGCTTAAATTGGCCTGCAATGCTAATGGTACCGCTTTTATCTGTCTGTTCATAGACATATTCACATGTAACACTAAAGGTGAGGATCTCGTTTGTTTGTTTTAGTACCTTGATATTCCCCACCCCCCTTACATTTAAATCACCTTTTGCTTAAATTAGTCTGTAACTCTGAAGTCAAGTCTACATTGGCTGCTACAGGTCAGGACAACATTTGATTTCTCATCTGGTTCCTGCGCTGAATTGACAACACCCACATACTGCACACATATCCCAAGTGAAGTTCAGAGGTCCTTTCCAAACTCTATTGTGAAAATGTGTTATAGGCTAAAAGTTGTTCTTATAAGTGCACATGCACTCTGAAGTAAGATACACTGAGGGTACTGCCAGTGTTTATGGTGGGATGCATGCAGAGTTTTCACAGCATCCATAGCTTCAAAACACCAGTGTGTATTTAACCCTTATTTAATCCAGATTTACCTATTCAGGTGGGAGGGGAGAGTAAAGTTAAAAAAACTGTTGCCAACAACCCATTTGCAATATCTAAACTAACATTTTACAATACGAAGCCCCATAACTGGAAGCACCCTGAGTACAATAGAACTTACTGTCTGGCATGAGTGCTTGGGACACAAGTGTCACTTGTGAACAACACCATGACAGGTCTGAGTTTTAATAGTAAGAGAGTCATATAGGCAGCAGCACTTGGTCTTGAGTACCATAAGAGATTAGGTGCATTTGATGTACGGCCTGACTATGGGACTCTTGGCCTGTCCACCTCAGGAGATAGTCCTTTACTTCCTTGTTACTCTAGTGCAGTGGTTTTCAACCAGTGTGCTGTGGCACCCTGGGGTGCCTTGAATGGTGGTCAGGGGTGCTGTGAGCAACACTGGCCTTTGTCCCTCTTTCTTTCCCTACTGATGCCCTCTCACGTCTCTGCCTCCCAAAGGCTTGCACAGCTGTTTATTGAAGCAGCCCTGGCTACAAGCTCCACAGGTAAATGGTGCCTCTGGGAGGCACCTTTCTTTGGAGTGGGCAGCTCAGAGACCTGGGCTGAGAGTAGAGGAGACTGATGGAACATCACAAGGGAGTGTTCGAAAAGGGGTGAGGGGCTGCCAGCTCTGCAGGCAAGGGGTGACATACGTGAGCTCCAGAGGCCCACAGGGATGCTGCAGAAAGAATGTAGTTGGCTAAGGAAGCCGTGGAATCAAAAAGGTTGAAAACCTCTGCTCTAGTGGGGTTTTTTTTTTAACCAGTTAGTTCCAGAGACCAACAGAGCTATAGATGAGGCTTCTTTACATAGACTGGTTTTGTTACTTACTTTATGTGTATTGATTTTAACTGGCGCTTCTGGTTCTAGTACTGTTGTGTGTCATATTCCCTTTCCCCCTATACATTTTAGTCTCTCCCCATATGAAAGTAATTCCAGACCCTTAAAAATTGTTATTGTGTTTCACTGCATCATTACCAGCTCTCCTTCTTCCGGACTTTCTGATTCACAGCATATCCAAATTCATCACCGTTTCCTTGTGCACAGAACCACCACCTAGCTACCATCAGCCTTACTTAGAACAACAAACTTTGTCAGGCACTGATCTAATTGCCTCGGCGACATTCCATGGCGTTCCTTACCATCACTGGAAAGTAAGACGTATTGGAAAACAGATTTAGAAGCTGGCTAGGTTGGTGATGTCCTTTGTTGCATGTAGAAATCGGTGGCAGGTGCAAGACTTTAACACTGTGTGTTTTACTGTCATGTTCACATGAAGTATTGTGCTAAGATACAAAGGAATCCTTTCAACCCCATATCTATTTTCTGTACCAGGGATAGTGAACCTGTTGGATTGCACCTCCATTCATCCCTGGCCATTGGTCATGTTGGTTGGGGGTGGGAACTAGAGTCCCATAACGTCTGGACCATGGGCTCCTTACCTCCATCATCAACAGGATTTCTCTGACCTGTAACTTGCATCATGAGGCAAACTGCACCCTCCCTTCACTGCTTGTGTTCAGAATTTGTTGTAAAATGTATTAATTGTAGCAGAGACCAATCTCTGCTCGAGGTTTTCCCACAGGCATCTGGTTGGTCACTGTGAGAACAGCATGCTGGATCAGATGCCCTTACAATGTAGAAGGTGGGGCAGGCAGGACAGAGTGTTGTTACTGCTCCACTGGCCTCTGTTGCCAGAGAGGAGCACTGTTGGTTCAGAGAGCTTTGCCCAGAGGTTGATGTGGGGCACCAGCAGCCACATGGGGCCCCAAAGAGCCCTAATTCTTCAACTATGCCAGCCTGAAACTGAAGTAAAAAATAAAAAAACCCCAGAAAGAAATGCACACTCACCTATTGAGTCAGCAGACATGGGATGCAGCAGTCAGTCAACTGCTCTGCCTTGCTGCTCCCTGGACAGGATTCGGATTTTCTGTTCATCTGAGCTGGGGTATCCAACAACAGGAAACCAGGCTTAGTGATGTTTGATAAGCTGCTCACACACAGGTGATTATGGGCCATGTCAGTGCTTCCAGGTGCTTCAGGATTCTTGAGAACTTCTCCAGGCAAATTTTAAGCCAGGGTTCTCACTTTTTAGAAATTATCTTTTGGAAGCTGTTTTGTGTTGATCCTCTAAACTGCTGAAATCAGAAGTTTAAGGAACAGGGCAGGGCAGGAGAAGCAGTTTCCATTAAATTTCTCCTCTTTAAGCAAGGTTCAAAGTTGCTTCCAAAGGGCTTCCAAAAAGTCCAGTGCTGCACTTTGAAGATGAGGACAAGATATTGTGGATGATGCAACAAACATGCACACCAGGGAAGCATTTGATCCACTTTAAACTTCTGGTATACACTGCCTACATCTGTTGCAAGTAACATGAGTGATGCGAGGGTAGACATGAATGATGGTTGAAGAGAAACATAATGTGGGAACTCAGGGATGGATTACATCCACTGCTTAATCCTTGTTGGAATTACTATTATTGATATTATTATCATTATTATTATTATTATACCCTGCCCATCTGGCTGGGTTTCTCCAGCCACTCTGGGCAGCTCACAGCATATTTGAGAACATACTAAAACATCAAACGTTAAAAACTTCCCGATCCAGGGCTGCCTTCAGATGTCTTCTAAAAGTCAGATTGTTGTTTATTTTCTTGACATCTGAAGGGAGGGTGTTCCACAGAGAGGGCACCACTACTGAGAAGGCCCTCTGCCTGATTCCCTGTAACCTTGCTTCTTGTAGTGAAGGAACCAGTAGAAGACCTTCTGAGGAGGACGTCAGGGTCTGGGCTGAACGATGGGGGAAGAGACACTTCTGCAAAACCTGAATATCAGGAAAGACAGCAATATTGTCCTACAATACAACTCAAAATATGGAAGGTTGTAATTATCTATCCAAAGGTGCCAGCAAGAATTAAATTCTGCAAGTATACTGGGTGTGGGGAAAACTTTAAAATGAAAATTACCCTTGTAAAACACCTTAAGACAGGCATCCCCAACCTTCGGCCCTCCAGATGTTTTGGCCTACAGTTCCCCTCATCCCTGACCACTGGTCCTGTTAGCTAGGGATCATGGGAGTTGTAGGCCAAAACATCTGGAGAGCCGCAGGTTGGGGATGCCTGCCTTAAGATCTATTAGCAGGCAAGACTTTATAAATGATTGATTTGTGGGGGAAATCAGTGGGTAAGAAATCAAGCCTCACAGCAATGCTACTCTTAAACAAAACTTTTGCACGTAACAAATGTGAGAAAATATTTGGCCAATTCTCAAAAAAAGGAAGTAAAAACAAAAATATAATTTGTGCCTGAACCCAACCCCAATGTGTTAGATGTGTGGACTGCAAGAAGGTGTTTGTTTTACAAAATAAATTCATTAAGCACCAGAAAATCCATGCAAGACACTGACAGATGCCACACAGTCTGACTAAATCAACATGTCCTCATGGAGAGCAAAGAAGCAGAGCAGAGTTGTGATCATTCAGTACTAATGATTGAGCAGTTGACAAAGATGAGGGAGAACACTGACATATTTCTTTTTCTCAACCAAGCAGTCAGCTCCATGCAAGAAATTCAGAAGCAGCTTGGTGTCTGTCCACCTAGCGATGATCTTATCAGTGGAGGCATTTACACTAGGGCTACTAGGGCATAGCCCTCCCAAGGAAAACATCAAGCAACGGGACACGGTGACAGAAGCCAGAGTGCATGGAAATGCCATTTACCTCCCACCGCAGTGGTATCTATTTCTCTACTTGCACTAGTGTGCATTAGAACTGTCATGTTGGCAGAAGCTGGGACAGAGACCCTGTCACATGGATTTGAACCACCGACCTTCCGATCAGCAAGCCCAAGAGGCTCAGTGGTTTAGACCACAGCGCCACCCGCTCCCTCCACAGTATAACACTGTACAACACTAGGGAGAACTGGTGACCAACAAACCTCCCTAACTCAGGTCCTCAGTGTCTAAGTCCTGTAACTTCATGATGGGCACCTATCTTTATTGCAAATCCATCTGAGAAAAAAACCCCATAACTTCCATTTTCGCTGTACAGATGACTTTAATTTTATGTATGTGACTTAACCCAGTAAATCTTTTTTTAAATGGGATGTCATTGGGTTTTGCAATATATTTGCAATATATATAGTATAACATAGGTATGTCATTGTGTCACTGGATTATGTGTTTGAATTAGATTGGCTTGCTGTAAGATTTTTTATTTTTCTGGAATTCCTTATTGCTGATTTTTGAGGGGAGGGGTAGTTTTCTATCTGTTTTAAAATGATTGTTTTAAGTGCTGCTTTATCTAATTATATTTTTGTTGACTTTCTGATTTTAGATTGATTTACCCAGCAATTTTGTTGCCCTTAATATTTGAATTCAATCAGCCATTAATTAAATAGCAAAACAAGGCAATGCCTTCTCAACTATTGATAACTGTTTGCTGTTGCTATAGTTTTTAGTTACCTGCATAATCTTATAGATATTTTCTCAAATCATTTATTAGTCTGAATACTTTTTTGACTTAGTGAAAATGTATTTCTTTAAAAAATGTGAAATGTTCACAATTACAATTTATATTCTTATTTCAACAATAAAGTTGTATTAGACCTTTTCAAAGTGCCTGCATTTTAACAAAACTTACAAATTCTAAAGTCAAATGCAGTTAGTCCCCTGAACAGAAAAGTGCAACAATTATAAGTTTGTGTCTCATTTTTTCCCGTTAATCAGCCACTGGTGGACTTCAGAGAACCATGAGCTGCTGCATGTCTTTGGCAAATTACAGGCCTCCACAGACCCAAGTAGTTTTACTGTATCTTTGCTTTGCTCCTACTGTGATTGGTTCTTTTTTGTCCTTTCCTGTTCCTATACAGTATTGCTTTTCCTTCCTGCTAGCTGAATTTGTCTGTTCATCAAAGCACCTCACATGTGCAACTCACAGATACTACATCATATTCTGCCCTTCTGCTCATGCTCCATTTCCTGGTCCTGTAGCCCTTTACCTAATTACCGGTAATTTAATTTAGAACTACCCTCTTTCCTGCCTACTCCCCTCTTCATACTTACCTGATCTATTGAGACAACCCACCTTACTCACTCCTTGCAAAGACTCCAATTCTAAGCATGCTGCATAGGATCCCTCAAATAAACGACACTCACCATTAAAGTCATCCAAATACGTTGTCTTTGGACTAGCACATTCTTTCCGGAAACTGCTGAAATCCACAATAGTGACTGTGCGTTCCACAAGCCTGAAACCAAGCAGAATTTTTAGTGTGCTGTTGCAACCGGTTCTGAGAGATCTGCATTGGCTCCCAGTACGTTTCCGAGCACGATTCAAAGTGTTGGTGCTGACCTTTAAAGCCCTAAACGGCCTCGGTCCTGTATACCTGAAGGAGCGTCTCCACCCCCATCGTTCAGCTCGGACACTGAGATCCAGCGCCGAGGGCCTTCTGGCGGTTCCCTCATTGCGAGAAGTGAGCTACAGGGAACCAGACAGAGGGCCTTCTCAGTAGTGGTGCCCACCCTGTGGAACGCCCTCCCATCAGATGACAAAGAGATATACAACTACCTGACATTCAGAAGACATCTTAAGGCAGCCCTGTTCAGGGAAGTTTTTAATATGTAACGCTGTACTGTTTTTAACACTTGATTGGAAACCACCCAGAGTGGCTGGGGAAACTCAGCCAGATGGGCGGGGTATAAATAATAAATAATAATAATAATAATAATTATTATTATTATTAAGCTGCGGTCAGCACATTTTCCATTGTTTTTGCACATCTCCTGGGCTGCTATGAACCACACACTTTATGTCACCACAGAGTCAGACCTCTTAGCTTATCATCACCCTTCCCACTGCCACCCTGAATGCGATTAAACTTTGGGATGATGGGAATAAAATGAGCCAAGCAATAAGCTTTCCCCTTTTACACATACAATATTCCAAAATAAAAATGATGCAACATTCCAAGCCTCTGAAATCAGTGAGATGCTGTGGCTGGGGCGCGAACCCTCTAGGCACTTTACATCTTCCTTGTTAACTGCAGGAGCAGCTGCACTATTCCAAAAGGCCATATTATGGCAGTCCCAGCAACATTACTCAGGGAAGCATACCACTGAAAAATGTCAACAACGAGGCTAAGTATGATAGGTGCATGCTAAAGGATAGGAAGTCAGATGCATTTCGTATTTTCAGCAGGAACCTTAAAAATTTAAATTGATAAGAATACATGTTGGTTTCTGCAATAATAATAATAATAATGTCAACATTGGGTCCAGTAGATTATCAGGAAGAACCTGAAACAGCACTATTGATGAAGCAAAGCAGATATTGATCAATGGGAGACCACTGGTAGTCCCACAAAATAATTAGATATAAATGTAATTTCATTACTTTTTCAACATTAATGGGGTCAACAACATTTCGTACATTTAAAAAAATTAAAATTACATGCCTTTTTTTATGGAATTCAGAACTGTGTTCAAATAATTTTGTTCAGCTTTTCAAATGTTTAACATGTAATAATAATTGCTCATATTCATTTTATTTTGTATACTCTTGAACTTTGAGGTTGGCTGGGCTGGGTGGAGGAGCACCTCTGCCCAATACACTCCCCCCACGCACACCCAGTCCAGCTGAAAAAAGGGTTTGGATTCCATTGCCAAGTCCTCATATTACATCTGTAACATATATGTGAATTTGCCAAGTTGAATCTGAAGTCTTTTGATGTTTCAGAAGCTGGATATGCAAACAACCCATCCAAAGAAAACATTTTAATGAATATGAAGACACATCAATCACTATTCCATGTTAGCAAAATGTAAGATATAGCTTTCAGCTTCAGAACCTTATTTAAAAATATTACAAAAGCAACATTTGCCCAGAACAGCAGCATATAAATATTTTAAAATAAAAATTGGTTCCTATATATTTTTGGTTGTGATCTTGCGTATTTCCAAACTCATAAGTATGCTGTCAGTAGTATACTTCCAACTTTGGAAGGATATTTATTGGGGGGGGGAATCCCATTTAAAATTACATTCAATGATTTTTGAAGTGTGTATGTATGCACAGAAGTGCAGATTTTGTGTGTCTGTTAGAAAGAGTGGAGGAGGGAGGGAACTGGATATATCAACTTCACATTAGTCAGGGACAATTATAAGTGCAGTCTTTCTTATGAACATGTTTTCCAAATCCAAAGGAGACTACAAGAGCTTCAAATCCTTCAACTATTCAAAACACATGTGTAACTTTATCCAAATTAATAATCTAATAATCCCTTTTGAGAAAAGTTGAACATTTGTTTAAGTGCTCTTGAGATCAGGTACTTTAATACCCTACTACTGTGATGACAAATCATAGGAAAGAATTAAATATTACAGTCCTGGATTCCTGTTCCTAAGGAGGAAGCCTTGGTACTCAGAAATGTAATGACTCTAGTCATTCCTTCCCTTTTTATAACTCACTGCAAGGGTATGGGCTTAGAAGATACATTCTTTTGAACCACTAGAAACACACACACACACACACACACACACACACACACACACACACACACACACACACAGCCCAACAAGTTTATTGCTATATCATGTTCTATAGGCATCTATCATGTTGCTTTTAGTGCATCCTTACGTTTAGGAGCTAGAACTTCCTAAACCACCTGGATATGGGCACTGCTTAGGATTCTTTAGGAAGGTTCCTGCTAAGGAAAGGACTGCAAGCTAGATGGACCATTGGTCTGACCTTATTTGGCTTTTCTGATATGCTATTCCAAATAACCAAAACATTAAATACCGTATTAGCCTGAATATAAGCCTCACTTTCCCTCCAAATTCCGATCATGAAGAGTTAAAGTGCAGCTTATATTCGCAACCTTACGGTATGCAGCCAGGAGCATGGAGCAAACAGCACCAGGAGCGTGGCAAAGAGGCGCCCGCCCCATGCTTGGTTCCCCGTCCTCTCCCCCGAGGCCAAGAAGAGAGAGAGCGAGGAACGGGAAAAGCCGAAGGCAACACAGTGCGGCTCCCCCCTCCCCTGTCCAGTATGCAGCCAAGAGCAGAGAGGAATGGAGCGGCTTAAATTCGGGTATTTTTTCTTTTCTCTCCCCCCCCCAATTTTAAAGGTGCAACTTATATTCGGGTGCGGCTTATATTTGGGTCAATACAGTAAGAAACAACAAGTCATCAGCTAGAAGCAGGAGTGCCAGCTTGGCCCCATGACCATGGGTGCTCAGATCTGTGGGTGCCATGAAGCGTGCATGATCCTGGAGCCGAAATTTGTGGGTGCCCAGCCCTTTCATGGAGAATTTTGTAGGTGCTCGGACACCCAGGGCCCCAGGGAGCCAGCACCTATGGCTGGAAGGATCAAAAGGTTTTGTATATAGAGTGTATGTTCCACGTGTTTAAACACAGGTGTATTATTTTCAGGCATACAATTAAATTTGTGGATTTAGTTTGATCATTGAAGACCTCTCTTGGAACTTGCTGGAGCTTAGGTTTCACTTGCAGAGCAGAGCTATGTTTTTTGCCTCAATCACCCTTGCCAGAATCAAAGTTGTTCAAAGTTGTTGCTTTTACAGGCAGGAGTTTTTCCTTTTTAATTAGGTATGCATCTTACAGTAAAATAGTACCATTACAGATGAAGGGAGTAATTCTCTGCTGTATGTGAGGGCAGCTGAGGGGTCTTAGGATACCATGGAACCCCCTTTCCACAGTCAGATAAGGAGGTAAATATTGGAAGACAACAGGGTTCACCATGAAAGGTCAGCTAGACAGAATTTGGGGACATGGCATTATCAGAATGACTGGTATATCAAAACTGAGTAATTAGCAGCATTGCTAAGAGAGATAAATCTGATGTAATATAGTAGCTCTTTATATCATATTCATCAGGTCAGATAACATTGTGAATAAGTTATATTCAAAGGTTAGACTCTGCTTAAAGATAACTCTCTGTAATTTCAGTCCACTCTGGCTTATAACTATATTTTATTGTAATTTACCTATTGACTTGAAATGTGACATCTTGAGGCACTGTAGCCAACACTGCTGTGTGCACTTTGATATTATATCTTGCTAACTTTGCTATTCTTGTTTTATGTTTTCATTTTAAACATTTAAACCAAAAGGTAATTAGAAACAAGAGGAGGTCAATGGTTGGAAACCTCATCATGGTGGCATGGTCTGAGGATGGTAGGGGCTGAAAAGGGGACAGCTGAGGCCTGCCAGGCTTTGACCCAAATGAAAAAAAAGCATGGGTTTGGCCCTGATGCTGGGGTGGAACAGAGAAGACTTTGAATCCAAATCACCCCCATTTGCCTGACATAGCCCCCAGACTGACCAGCAGACTATGGCTAGTTCTTCTTCCCTTTTTAGGCAAAGCAACTACTACAGCCAAGCAACTACTTTAGACTGAAGCTGTAAACAAAGCAGAGCTTTCTCTTGAACTCCTGGCTCTGCTGTTTGTTTCTGGAGAGAAATAAGGAACTGGAAAGCATTCAGGTACAGGCTGATTCACACAACCATTTTGATAAGGTGGTGAAGCCCCCAGGAGCTGCAATTTTCTCCCTAAAGTAGGGAATGCTCTGACACATGTAAAGACCATAGACTGTATATTACATAAAATGCTTTAAGATGTGCACAGAGTCACCATGTCAACACATGCTGAAGAAGTCACAAGATTGGCCAATAAGCCCGAGATGATAATTTGTAGTGGCTGCACTGCTACATCAAGGTGGTTATGTCAACTGGGTCTTGGCACACCTACACACGAAAGCAGTCTAGTTGTGATACGGATCCAGTATCTGGCATTTAACTTCACACCGATTCATCTGTTTTAATGTAGACACTGTAGTAGATTAACTTATTTTCTAGCTAAGGAAGTTATCTAACGGTATAAAAATACCTGCTTGGAAAGTGATATGTAATATAGGGATTTTCTGCTCTGTATCTCTTTAAGACTAGTAATTCTAAGCATATTTAATTCAAAGCCAATTCCATTTAAATCAATGAGATGGGTGTTTCAAGTAAACATGATTTGTGTTGGACTGTTGGAAATATCAGTGCAAGCAGAAGCCAGGAGCTGCTACTTCTTTTTTAGCAGGATGCAAATGCACATGTCCAGGGCTGAGCTCCAGATGGAAAACAAATTCTGGGACCCACCTTTAGAGAACATTAGCTCATATTAAGCCCTGTTTTTTGGACAGGCTTTTAAAGATCACTACCCGCTAAAATAGTGTGTTTGCCCCATGCCCTCTGCTGGAAAGAATCAGAATTTAGGAATTAGGGTTGCCTAGTCTAAATCCCAAAAAATAACAGATGGTATCTAAACCTAACATACTGAAACAAGGAACGTTCATGATACTCTGTCGGTCTCTGATCTTTTGTAATACAATAAGAATCCAAGCCTTCAACTCAATGAAACCACTTCTGCTCTGGGTGGATAGGAATCCAGGAGGAATTAGTTTTTCAGTTTCAGCCTTTCAGATCAATATGTGAAACCAAGCAAGCCCTGTTATTTCCTCCTCCTCCTCTCTCCTCTATGCCAGCCCCACAAAGCCTGCCTGTCAGAGATGAATTCATAATTCAGGGATGAAATGGTGGTGAAGAAAGACTATCAAGATCTGAAAGCCCACTCATGTAGATATTAAAGATTAAATGCAAAAAGGTGTAATTAAAGAGATTTCTCTTGGGTTCCTTTAAAAAATAATTGTCACTATTTATTTTTTTAGCATTTTTTTTCAGAGAAGCTGGTGAATCTAAGAATGTAAAAAAGAGCCCAACTAAATCAGACCAAAGACCCTTTGAATTCAGCATCCTGTTTCTCCACCAGGTGCGCCAGTGGAAGTTGAAAAGTAGGATGCAACTACTCTGTGAGGCCATCATTTTCCTTCAACTGGTACTCAGGGGCCTACTGCCTCTGATCCTGGAAGTGTTACATAGACATCATGATTAATAGCAATTGATGGCCTTATCCTCCATGAATTTATCTAATTCCCCTTTTATGTTCACCATATGTTGTGGAAGCAAATTCCATAGTTTTAACTATGGGCTGTCTGAAAAAGTATGGTGTTTTGATTGTCCTGAATCTCACTTCATTCCAGATTATTGAACTGATTCCATTAATTTCTTTATTCTGGATTCTAGTATTATGGACAAAGAGAAAAACACATTTCTGAGCACTTTCCCCACATTATGCAAAGCCTTAATACATTTACAACATACCCTCCCTTAGTTACCTTTCCCCCTAAACTAATTAGCCCCAAGCTTTGTAACCTTTCTTCTTTGCAAGTTGTTCCAATTCCCTGATCACTTTGCCCCCCCCCCCTGCACCTTTCCCAGTTTTACAATATCATTTTTAAGCATGGCAACTAATATTCCAAGCTTGGTTACACTATAGATTTGTATACAGTATTTATTTTTAACCCATTCCTAATGATCCCTAATAAATTTGATTTTCACAGCTGCTGCACACTGGGTTGACATTTTAATGGAACTGTCCACCCTGACCCCAAAATCCCTTTCTGATCAGTTACTTCCAGTTTGAACCTCTTCATTATATATTTGAAGTAAGGATTTTTTGCTCCTTTGTGTCTCGCATAATTTTTCACAGTGAAGCTCATTTGTTATTTTGGAACTCTTCACAGCCCGTTTGGAGCTCTTTGCAATACAAACATACAAATCTAGCACCTAGATCCATTTAATCAGATACAATCATGTCTTGTCCAAGTGTGGAACGAGTAAATGGGCCAGAGATATAAGAACTTCTGAGTACATAATAAACATATGTTGCCTGAAATACAGGTGGGAAATTAAATTTCCTGGACTCCCTAAATTACATCTCTGTCATCTGTCTGTCTAGATGGAGCAGGCAAAGGGTAATAGATTCACAGCATTGTAGAGTTGGAAGGGGCCTAAAGCTATGGTTTTCCCAGTAGTGATGTATGGAAGTGAGAGCTGGACCATAAAGAAGGCTGATCGCCGAAGAATTGATGCTTTTGAATTATGGTGCTGGAGGAGACTCTTGAGAGTCCCATGGACTGCAAGAAGACCAAACCTATCCATTCTTAAGGAAATCAGCCCTGAGTGCTCACTGGAAGGACAGATCGTGAAGCTGAGGCTCCAATACTTTGGCCACCTCATGAAAAGAGAAGACTCCCTGGAAAAGACCCTGATGTTGGGAAAGATTGAGGGCACAAGGAGAAGGAGACGACAGAGGGTGAGATGGTTGGACAGTGTTCTCAAAGCTACCAGCATGAGTTTGACCAAACTGCGGGAGGCAGCGGAAGACAGGAGTGCCTGGCATGCTCTGGTCCATGGGGTCACGAAGAGTCGGACACGACTAAACGACTAAGCAACAACAACATGAGGGTCATATAGTTCAAACCCCTGCAATGCAGGAATCTTTTGCCCAACGTGGGGCTTGAACCCACAACCCTGAGATTAAGAGTTTTATGCTCTACCAACTGAGTAACAGAAGTAATATTTAATATCCTTCCTTCTTGTTACATATATCTCCATGCACTGCAGCAGAATGCATGCACTCAGATGCATGCAAGGATATCTGTGCGCTCAGCAGATGGTTGGTGCTGGCAGAAGGTGCAGTAGTTTTAGAAAGGGAGCCAAGTTCAAAACGTTTGAGAAACACAGCCTTAAGAGGAACAAGTTCATGTTTACTCTTCCATATGGTACAGAATTGTTCGAAACCCAACTATGGCGTAACTCTAAGGGCTTGAAAAGCACAAAGGAAATAAAAATATTACTTTTAAGCAAAGCTATAATCCTTCAGGAATCCCAGCCACAGACCTGGGGATGATTGCATCAGACAACCTACAGAGTATGAAATATAGCCCTTCTCAAAGCCTAAATACAGGAGAAGAAAAGCAAATGGTAAAAAAATTACAGTTAATCTGAGGAAAGAGTGGAGCAATACAAGTGATCAGTGATCCCTTTTGACCTGCCACCCAGTCTTTGTCCATTTTTATATAGGCATCATGGGAACATTTCAAGGAGAACAAAGAAGTGCTTCAATAAAGGAATTATTGTGATTTGTTTTGGAGAGTGAGTATGATTTGTCATTTTTTAACAAATGGGAACGACAACCCAGTGAAGGCTAAAGCATCTGATCTGTGCTAGATTATGCAAAAGCACTAAGTTAACATTAATGAGCTCATACAAATCTCCAAGTACTCTCAATGCTGATTCTGACAATAATCTGTGGCAGCCATGGGGGAAAGAAACTTGTGGATGCACCCAACTAACCAAAACACATTAATTCTCAATATATTATGTTTATCTAACCATGGGGAAATTCTGTCCATATGATTTTCAGCCATGTCAATTTATAGTAAACTGATAATTGACTCTTAGCATGCCACTGAAGATCACCCTAAACATTGGTTGGTGGTAGCATGTCAGGAAATGCTGACAATTGTCCTATGTTGCAAATTGCATCACTATGGCTTCTGAGTAAAGTGATAGTTGTAATGCGATGAGCACTATCACTACATCTTCTCAGGCAATAATTTTCCTGAATTACTATGCCAAAGCTGGCCATTGGCTCTTTCTCAGGAGGAAAGAGTATTAAGAGGGCAACCTCTCTCCATGGAACTCTGTCTGACCAACATGCTCTTGTGCACTTTGATTTTTTATCTTACTGATTAGTTCTTAAGCCCTGCCTAATGGTTTGATCCAGGGTCAGCCCATCCATGAGGCAAGGTGAGGCAAATGCCTCAGGTGGCAGGATTCACAGGGGCAGCAGATCCAGCTTCCAAGGAATGCATCACCTGCTGTTGCTGTTGTGGTGGGAATGACAGCTGCAGCATGTTCCTTGGGGGCTGGATCTGCCGCCTCCTCGGCAGCCACCACAATGCTGCCTCTATATCAGTCTCTGGGGAGGTGCTGCTGGTCTCCTACTAGCCTTGTTCCTGATGTAGATCTTTATTCTGCCCCCTTGTTCCTGATGTACATCTTCACTCACCCCTTCTTCCCTAGAGAGGTGGGGAGCACTATTTTGTGGTTTGCCTCAGATGCTAAAATGTATTGGGTCAGCCCTGCTGATAGCCTCCCAACAAGAAGAATATAGGAAGCTGCCTTATGCCGAATCAAGCCACTGATCCATCTGGCTTAGGATGGTCCATACTAGCTGAAAGCATCTCTCTACAATTTCCAACAGGAGTCTTTCACAGACTCTTCGCAATCCTGCCTGGGACATCAAGAGAGATTGAAAGAGCATACCTCTTTATGGATCCAGGGTGGGCTTAGTTCCTAACTAGAAAGAGATTTGTGACAGATCCCATTTCCAGTTCCCTTGCCAAAGTAACCTTCTACCAGACAGTCAGCAAGTGTCCCACATGGATCCATGGCAATGCACTAATTACAGATTCCATCCGTTGTGCATTAAGTGGATACAAGTGCAGCCAGCCCAGGGGCACTAGGCTCTTTGCCTTAATTTGTGCTGTGTGCCATTCTCTTTTGCTGCAGGCAAAAGTAATTTCCCTAGCCTGGAAATGTGATTTAATTTGACCTGGTTCACATAGGATCAACATTTCTAACATTCCCACCCCTAATTTATATGGGACTATGGGAAATTAAGTTTGGCTCACAATGATGGTCGCTCAGCTCTACTTTTCCAGTATCCTCTGCATCCTTCTGTTGCCTTTTCCATTCCGTGGAGTCTTCTTGTCTTGCATTCCTGCAAGGGCACCATCACAAAGATGTACAGCTTCAGCAGTGATTCTGTGAAACAAACAGAAGGTGTGCTGTGGATAAACAGCTGACAAGCGACCTCAAAAAATTGTAGAATAGACCTTTTCTCTGGAGGGTTTTCCAAGGATGAGTTTATCTCAGGGATCATTTGCTTTGTTGTGCATCAAACATAAAACCCAAACAAAGGCAAAATCATACATCCAACTTGACCCTAGCTCTCACCCTGACCTCAAAATTGTGCTCAGTATAGATATAACCAATCCATAGCATCTATAGATATGAAAAATGCAGTATTCATCAAACCATTAGAACACCCTAGTGTCAACAAGCAGGCAAATGAAGTTTGGGTAGGAAACTTTAACTAACAGTGTGCTTGAGCTCTAGGTGGGCGGGAGTGTAATTTATTGTGGGCTTTAATATGTCTGGTGCCGTGATGAGAAAATGTCTTTAACAAGAGCTGTAAAAACAAAACTTCTTTATGTGCAAAGGTGAATCATCTGGCTGCATAGAACAGTGTATTTCCTCCAAGACTCTGTCCTCATAGGCACAGCTGCACATGCCGCTGTTGCAATAGAATAAACCCCTAATGATATAACAAAGCCTCAGATGCTCCAGTCTGAAGCGGGAATTGCTGAGCTGGTAATTCTGAATGATGTATGCAGGACAGCCCCTGAATTAGGGCAATCCAGTGTAGTTACAGTTTAAAAGTTACTGACTTTTAAACTTGAGAAAAACATATTATTGGGGGGTGGACATCTGGCTGGGGGCTGAATGTAGCTCCCCAGGCATCTCTATCTGGCCTTTGGGACTCTCCTAGCCCACATCCTCTTCCCATGCCATAACCCCTCTTATCAAGTTACACCCTTCACTGGCCCTGCCCCACACCAAGCATTTTTGCCTGGCTGGCATGTGTTCTTGAACTATGACAACGCCTCTTGCTTGCCTTGATGGAGAGATGTGCATGTGGAAAACTCTGACTTTTTGCATGGCTGGAATGTAGCTTAGTGTTCCAAGGTAGGAATCACCAGCATTCCTCCACCTGCTTTTTGACTTTGGCCTTGCCTACCACTGGCATTTGCCTGCCCTGCCCCCGGCTTGGCTGACAAGGCATGTGGGATGTCACTGACCATTGTCTTCTCCATCCCACTGTCCATGGCTGCCTGCTGAGGCACTTATCTGATGGATGTGCCAGAGCACAATGCATGCTACAGCCAGGCTCACTGCTCAGCACATATAGTGATCAAGTGTGCATTGTGAACACTGGAGAGAGAAAAAAAAATGCAGCTCCACTGCCTCAATCATATGTGGGGGGGACACGGCACACTCCTCGAAAATGGCAGCAAAGGTAGCATGTGCCATACAACATAATGAGGTGCTGGTGTGGTAGCTGCCCATGGATGTCAGCCTGGCTGGGCAGGAGTCTCTCAGACCAGGGCACCTGAAGGGGAGACGAGAGAGAAGGGCTTTGCACCCCTTGGTACTGCAGGATAGTAATGCCAGGAAATACTTTGGGACATAAAGCTACCAAACCTGGCCTCAATAGACTGTCAAACCCCTTCCTGGCCTCTTTGCCCCTCTGACTCACATGCCCTGCCCCCTACTGATGACGCATTCCCTCCTGCTTGCTGCCTGCCCTCCTCTCCTCCCTCAGCTCAGGGCATCTGTCCAGGTCTGCACCTTATCCCACTCTGCCCTGCTGCTCCCTGTTGCCGTGCACCTCCCTCCTGCTAGATGCCTGTCTCCCCACAACCCTTTGTTTATCCCACAGCTAATGTTTCCCTGAGAGTGTTCATGCGCTGGGCTGGCCATTGCCACCCAGAGCGGGTTGTCGCTCCTTCCCCAGTCCGTGATAGGAGTTTGCCTGAGCTGAGCCAAACCTGTTTCCTGCAGCAGTAGCTTCCACGTGTGTAAATGTTTGAAGTTCTCAATTTCTGTCTGACCACCACCCTGTTGTAGGAAAGGCCCCTGCAGCAAGGGTGACTAGGCCCAGAAGCAGAGCCTGTGAGAAATGCAGGAAGAGACCTGCTGAGCGACCCCTAGTGTTCAGAGAAGGCAATCCCTATCTGAGCATCCCTGAGAATAAACACCAGACACAGAGAAAACAGTCCTAAGGGAGGCCTTTCCGGAAATCAGAGTGCACAGTTCCTTGGTTCCTTCATGGGAGCAGTGGTAGGGGAGTCTTAGTTCCTTTCTGAGGTGCCATATGGGGAAAGAGGGTGAGTTTGGCCCCTCAGCAACACAGGGATTCCTTGATATAATCAGCATCTATTGGATAGCAATCTGTGAAATCCCAAAGGCAGCCACATGGAAATAATAGTGCCCACTGCAATTGTGGTTGGTTGGTTGGGTGGGTGGGGGGCAGGAGTGAGGTTCATGAGGGTGTGCTTTCTTTGTGCTGGCATGGCAGCCAAGTATAATTCCTTCCTTTCCACCCCTCCTCCCCACATCATGGTGATAGAAAGGAAGCACATCCAGAGCGGGTCCAATGTTACCTTGAGTGTCTGCTGTGGAGAAGGCTGCCTGGGCCTTAATCTTGTCTCCAGTTGCAGCACAGCTGCTGCTGCTGCTGCTGTGGTTGTTGTTCCAGTTGTTGCTGTGTGGTCCTGTCTGTCTTTTGGTTGTGAAAGCCATGTTGGTATTTAACCTAGCAGACCCTTCCCCACCTGCAGCACCTCTCCTCAGGCCTGGGCACTACTTAGCACCTCCTGCTGTCCTAACAGAACTTGAGACAACACTACCTGAAAGGACCAACTTCTGCTGTGAAGGAAAGAGAAAGAACAGAAAAGAGAGCTTTTGGAGGTATCACTGAAAAACAAGCAGTGGGCCCAGCTGGAATATTTTTTTAAAAGGTTGTCCCTGGTGTCATGAGGCCTCTCTTAGACAGATTTTCTGGGGATTTCTGGCTGTGCATCGCTCACAGGTTTATTTGAGGTGACTTTCTGCCTATTGAGGTGGACAGCAGCATGTTACTCTGAATGTAAAGAGAAAGACATAAATAGCAATGAAGAAAGAGGGTAATAAGAAAAATATTAAACTGCACAGTGGAAATCCCAGGAGGATTACTATTGCAATAACTGACCTCCAATATAGTGCCATTTATTTCATGCCATGGCAGGTTTATAGGTGCTTGTAGGGCTGCAGACGAACACCAATTTGCCACTGCAGTTTGTTTTGATAACTGAAACTTTCAATAAATCTGTATTAAAATCAAAGAGAAAATTAAATAGACCCAAGTTGGTGGCATGAGGGATAAGGTAGCACATTACTACACTGGCCTACTCAGTCAGGGACATCTGTCTCTTAGTTCAGTTGCAGGTCACAATAGTAATGATTGTTTGAGATCCAGGGAACATCCCTGAATGGCAGGCATCCAGCAATGCTGCACAATGAAAAAGGAAGAGCTGTCTGCTTTTTCAACAGTACAAATGGTGATGATATTGTTATTATTATTATTAGATATATATTCATCACAAAGGAGCCTAGGGTAGTGTAGTGGTTCTAG